TGAATAAAACCAACACCAGAAGTAGCCAAACATACAGCGCAAACAGATCATCATCGGAGGGCTCTCGTAGTCCAGAAGTTAGGGTGTTTTCCTCTCATTCCATAGGTCCCCGGTTCGAATCTGGATGGCGACGGAAAATATTTGTCTCTAAAATGCTCTCCTTTCACCTCCTTTCCTGCTCTCTAACAATGTTATGTCGTCTGATTTCGTCTCGCTCTTTCTGCCCCACCCCCTCACCTCGTTCGTTTGCCCCTTCCTCTTGGCTCCTGACTCTTTCTGCAGCCTTAAATTTCTACTGCTATTCCTTGATTCCTTCTTACTGCTGTCTTTTAGCCACACCCCTGATCTTATGGATGGTAAGATCCAACTCCTGACCTTCTCGGATAAGGGCGAAAAATCTCGAAGGTCTCGAGTGAAAGTTGAGTACATTAAAGATCCCTTGGCAGTTCAAAATCGATAAGAATAGGCTTTGGCCGCCAACCCGGCAAAATTCAAAATTTTCTACCAAATGAAATTGTTTAACGAGTCCTGTGCTCTCATATGACCTTATGCAATTGCAAGCGTGTAAAACACTTACCAAATATTTTATTTTAAATCAGAAGAAAAAGAGAGAAAAAAAAACAACAACAGTTAATCAGAAAACGAAGAAGTGTACCAACCAGAAAGAACAACCAAATACAGCATGAGGTTGAAAAATCTTTACTGTGCAGCTGGTCGTTTCTACATGATAATATTGTAGTTCTGCCTGAATTGTGGAAGCTTTCTCAGTTTCTTGATAAACCTCCTAGGGTTTGACTCCTTTTTATGACGTTGTCCTATTCCGATCAATATTGGGTAGACCTAGAATCTAGATCTCAATTAGATCTAACAATTGTTTCTGACATTGTTTGCACAAAAGTAAACTAGATTCTAGACGTAGTCTTGTTCGTCTCTCAATAATCATTTGAGTTTGGAGTTTGGGCAAGTAAGTCGAAAGACGCTTGGATAACAATTTAATAACAAGACGGTGCAACTCGGTATAGGCAGTATTTCCTGTCTGCAGTGTTGTTATACAATAGATCTACCTAAAAATATTATCTTTAAGTTAGGCCTGCCTAGAGAACGTATACATGTACATTGTATACAAGCTGTCTACGTTCGCTAGGACTTAGTCTAGATTAATGTTCAGTGCTTCTAAGCGCGGCATCGAATCCCGGTCCCGGAAGGGTTTGTTTTTTTTTTCTTCTCCTGAGCCTAAAATTTAAAAAAACATAATTAGACTCACAGACCAAGGAAAGCTGTTACATGTATTGAACTTTAACCAGGCCTAATTAATTGGTTAAAGGAAAAGTAGATCTATAGGCTATAGGCCTACTAAGACAGAGCTCCTCTTGGGGACAAAACCAGAATGTATACGCTCCATCACTACATTAAAAAAACTACAAAGCAACAAGTTATAATTAGATCTAAGGGAAAATTTGTTGGTCAGTCGAGAAGAGGACCAAAAAAAAAAACTTCCAGAACCAGGATCAAACCCAGGCTCATAAAATAATGGTTTTGTTTCAAACGCAGAGGCGCTGTACTTTCAGCCATCAGAACTTCCAAAAACGAAAGGTAGATAAACTTCATATAGCCTAGGAAGTGTCTACGTTCTCTAACGTTAGAGAATGTATACAAGCTGTCTACGTTCTCTAACGTTCAGTGCTTCCAATTTTCCGCCATTTTTTAAATAGTTTCCTCCCAGACCTCATCTGCCGATCCCCCCTCCCATCATCCACATTTTCCCGACCTTCTCACTTTCTTTGTTGTAGAAGTAGAGAAAACTAGATGTCAACATCTTGATCTATGTTGTTGCCTTTCCTTAAACAGTGCTGTATAATAATATATTATGCCTTATAATCGTTGGATGATCTGATAGCCGAATGGTCAGCGTGTCTGCGCTTGAAGTGTATGAGTGTGGGTTCGAAGCCCGGTCCTGACGGGGGGTTTTTTGTTTGTTTTTGTTTCTTCTTCTTCTCTTCCTCCTCACCGACCAACAATTTTCCCCATAGTTATAATTTGTTACCTTTTAATTTCTTATGTAGTGATGAAGCATGCAAATTCTGGTTTTGTCCCCAAGAGGAGATTTTATCTACTAAGTGTAGGCCTTCTTTTCCTTTTACCAATTTATGTCAGGTTAAAGTACATTTTCAACAGTGGCTTTCCTTGGTCTTTGAGTCTAATTTTTTTAATTTATTTTAGAATCAGAGAGGCCAAATCTTAGTTCTTCAATTACACATTTTCTTTATCCAGGACCCTCCTGCGGCCCCCAGACCCCTGCCAATTGTTCCTCCTGCCAATTATTATTCGTCCTGTTTGGGGGTCTGGGGGCAGTAAGGAGAAGGAGAGGGGAAAAAACAACAACCCCCCCCCCACCTCCCCCCCCCCCCCAATTTTCCGGGACCGGGATTCGATGCCACGCGCTTGGAAGCACTGAGCATTAGAGAACGTAGGCAGCTGGTGTACGTCCTCTAACGTTAGAGAACGTAGACACTACCCATTCTACCTATAGCCTAGGCACACGGGGTTTTATTTAGCACTGGCGCTAATCGCAAAGCGGCGTTGCAAATAGCCACTTCTGTGATGTAATCTAATTTTGGCCCCAATAGTCCACTCTGACATGTTGCGGTCCGAAAAGCCGCTAAAAACGCAAATGTTACCTGACTACTATTGTACGACTGCACAAGAATAAACACAAAACTGATCACAGCCTTCGCCTTCTTAACTCATTCTCTCATCTCAGTGAACTTAAGACTTAATACACCACAACTGGCGACGAGGTAGGCTAATTTTATCTAAGTATGCCTTCGATGAAGATTGACGCGTTCGACAGCGCAACGGAGACTTTTCAGAACTACTCTGAACGGTTAGAGCAATACATGTACTTCATTGCAATTTTATGATGATGCAGAAGCAAAGAGGGCTGCGACTTTGCTCGCTTGTATCGGACCCAAGACCTATCAGTTACTACGATCCCTCACGGCGCCTGATATGCCTTCTACAAAGACATATGCTCAATTGAGAATGATCTTGAATGCACATCTTTCCCCGCAACCCCTAGAAATTGCAGAAAGATTCAGGTTTCATAACCGCAACCAGAGAGAAAATTAGTCAATTCAGGCCTACACAGTAGAAATAAAAAGGCTCAGC